CCTTCAGAAATTCCATCACCTGTCCTGAGCAATCTTGCTTTCCCAACCTATCATGTTTACATGTTCAAGTTTCTTCGATGTCCGCGGGCTTGTTCTGAATATCAAGGTTTAAGGTACAACTGATAGAAACAACTCACAATACAGTGTTTAAAAATATAAACTATGGGGAAGATTTATAGTCGACATAATCATCTCATTATGGAATGGTTTATTTTCTCTTACAATATGAAGTGTTCAATCCCCTATAGTAAGCTAGGTGGTTTCGTTGTTAAGTTTCTTCTCATTTGGAAATATGACATTACTTACATGGGTTGTGGAGTTTCGTTTTTGAAGCGAAATCCTCTTACCATCCCGGAACATCTGGCTTTATTCCTCTTATACATTTTCAGGGGTTCCCATGTAAACATTTTCTTTTGTTAATATCTAAATCTAGTTTCATCTAATATGAATTAATGTTTGGTGGCATGTACGTATTTCCATACATTTATCGTTGGTGCTATCTCAGTATTCATTGCATTGTTGCTGTGACGTCAATGCCACTGAATAATATATTTTATATGACGCCTGTCGCTTAATAGTGTTAAAGTCACGATTTTTATTATTTTTTTTAATTAGCACAACCTCCACTTAAACATACCTCGATACCTGCTTTGAGGCAGTCGAGAATACTCTTTACGCATTAGTGAGATATTTAACGAGTTAACCAGTCACGTGACCCATCTGATGTCAAGGTGTTACTTCGACTGAATGTGTCTAATATATAGTAATATAGAAGACAGTTAATTCTGACATAAACAAGGTAATTATGCTAGTTTCTAGGACTAATTGATCAAATATGACTCCAGCAACCATGCGGCAGTAAAAGCATATGAAAGTTGAAAATGTTGAACGTTGAAATGCATTTACTGTTTTAAGATATAAATGTCTATATCAACACGGAAATGCTACGGTATTAGCGTGCACAAATCCAGATTGTGATACAGTATACATTCATTTACGTAAATATCAAAACATCAAAGTACAAGAATTATCTTCGAGGTAGGAGGAAATATATATATATACATGTATAATATACCAATACATATTATGCATATCCATGCATGCATATACGTGGATGTACGTAGTGTACACGTCAAAAGTTGTCCTCGAACACGTTTAAATTGTAATTATAACTGGTTCATAAGAGAATCAAAAACAACATTGAGCAAATGTTATTGATAATATACACGAAAGCTAAACAGAGCAAGTTATAATCTTCATTCACTTTAACTGTCATCTGTCCGGAGAGGTTCGTTTGACACAAGATGTTTTTTTCCTTTTTCTCGCCACTTCAATTATTATGACTTAAATTATATGGCCTTGTCATATTTCACTTACATCGTTACCTTGAAATTTGATAACGCTTCTTTTTTTAATTTTCCTTTAAATTTCTGATATTATTTATTTGGTCACTACTTTGATAATGGTATATTGTTGATAAATGTATATCTACGTGTGGAGTGCGACACAATAACATACATCCTGTAACAATCAAATGTGGCATTTCTTTGACAATTTACTATTTCCAAATTCCACATTATGAAAAAGAAACTCGTTAAAAGAACAATTAGCCATATTTATTCAAGAAATAGGCTATGAATCATCACGGACAATGTCGTTGACGTTGTGGCTTCCCTTTCAAAGTAATTTTTGATAAGAAAGAAAAAAAACACTTTATGTTTTTGTTGTCAAACATCTTTATATAAAATGTACATTATACAATGTATACAAATATCAGATATCGCTATTTACGTTACACGTCACGTGATCACGTTTTGCATTAAAAACATATATTTACCAGACAAAGCTAGAGGGCCGATGTTCGCGGTCGTCTGTCTGCCGAGAGAAATGAGATACTGTGGTCTATATATATTATTGTATTATTTTGAATTGAAATTATTAATACAAAAATTAAAAGCATTATGATAAATTGTGTCAAAAACCTCTTTACGCCATTTCAATATCACATGATCTCGTTATCAAGCTTGTGGGTGCTTATTTTAAACAGTTAATTAATATTCAAAGAAAACCTTCATAAAATAATGTTTCCATAGCGAAGAAGAAATTATTTTAACCATAAACAGAACTATAAGGAATTTTATTGAAGACCACATTCAAACCGAAGACCACCTAATTTCAACAGAACTATCTTAAGAGACACCTCTGTTATTTACAAAATATGAATAGGAATATAACAATTTACTGATGTCTGTAAAATAAGTTTTAAACCCCGTATTGGGGTTTGTCTGTCAGTTGTCAACTTTTTGCAGGAAAACAATGATATTGATACCAAGCTCAGAAATAACGAATTAACTGCGACATGCAACCACGATAGGTGAGAGAAGCAGGAATGAACAAGCAAAAACAAATTCACAACGGGGAAATTGAAATCACGTGCCTAACCATACAGCTTGATGAGAAGCAGTCCTTGATGACTCGTTGTACAAAAACTTAGAAATGCCAGAATAATGCTTTTCGAAAACATCCGTTAAAGGTAAGAGGATGTTGTGAACTTGCGGGAAAAAGAATATGCATAAAAGGATAAACGTGTTCGATTTTGTTTAGTCCATAATATTTGCATAGAACAATAACATTGCGATAAAGAAACCATCAGACACTCTAACGCGCATATATCAAATCTAGCTCCGTATTGCGAAATAAAATACACTGTTTCCCAAGGAGACACTGATCGCGACTATAAACCCATCCCGAACTCTTCATAAACATGCATCTCCAAAACCTTTTTTCGTTAGCAGTCAATGTTTCTACAAATGCTGTCAAATAAAAAACAATTAACCAGCTATATATCAACTATACCTGGTAAATTGTGTTTTTTTCACAGAAAAGAAATGTATAACATTGACATGGCAATTTGATACATGTCTTTTCATCCAAACATTTTAATCTCCAGTCTTTTTCTATGACTTTAGACTAAAGGGTGACATTGACTATCTCACTTTAAGTTTGAATGTACATTTAATTGATAAACGAGATGGGTTTCCCCCTTCAGAATTTGAATTGTATAACATAAGACAGGTCTATTCATCAATGTTTTTTAATTCATACAAAACTATTTGTTTCTATCACAAAAATCCTGTAAGCAGATGCTGAAAGAAACTGGACTCAAACTGCATTCAAGCGTGAAAATTTAATAGTCACAAATAACAATGGGTTACATCACTGTTTGATCTGGCGAAGAGTTGACAGTTGCCCTATTTATTGAAATGTCGAGAATAAACTTCTCAGCAGCTGTGAGAGATTGTATACGTGCGTTTACTTTGTCCATAGCCTTTGGTGTTTATATGTCGCCACTGATTCTATATTGAAAAACTTGTTCTCATTTTCACGGTTTTCGTGCAATACGTCAATAACTAAATCCTAACCTAAGTCTTTATGTGAAATGAAGCTGAACGTGTTTGGTGCTCGTTCCGTTCTTGTATGCCTTATTCTCATTTGAGAACGCGACATTATTTGCCTGCACTAGAATATATTTACCTGACGGTTGTTGTTGTCCAGAATTTGGAATATTATATTGTTTACATGTTGGTATTGTCTTCTTTTATAATAATACTTGGATATACTTTTCTTAAAATAAATATATTTATATGCTTTTGTATTGATAATTCACAGATATTTTAATCTATCATTTCTGACCCTATTTGTCGTTACAATGACCATTTATATTTCATTATACGTGGTACTCATAACTCATAGTGGTGAAAATAACATCTATGTTATAATTTCTATTCCGATAAATGAGCTTTGTTCTTGGGTATATTATACATAAATGCCAACAAAAAAGACACATATTCAGTAATGTTTGACTAAATGACGTATAACATGGCAGACATGGTAAAAAAATGTCAATCAAGTTGTTCAAACATATTAACAATATAAATAATATCATCATTTTAATATAGCCAAAAAGCACAAAATACGCCACAGAACTGCAATGCTTTCAATTGTAGCAGTGCAGCGCCTGAAAATATCATATTTGCTACACATATTTGAGATTATCTCCGTACTGAAAAAAGAAAAGAATATCAAGAAAAAACTGACTTCTTTTCTTTTCTTTTTATTCAATTTCGATTATGCTATGAAAACACATCAAAATACCGCAAAACATGTTTTGTTACAACGGCAGGCACGAGGTCACAGCGACCATTGACTTTGACGCGTGAGGTGCAAAGCCTTTCCTTATAATTACATTTGAGGGCGCTTCTCGTGTCCAATCTGAACGCTATATAGATCAATGGCAAACGAGCATGATAAATCGTGAACAACGCTAGCATAGAGACAGACATTCAGTAATAGTTAGACCTGCTGTCGTTCGCACATCGCTTTGAGCTAACGGGTAGTAACAAAACAACGCAAAAAAGCTTGTCGAAGGCATTCGTTAAGCATACAGCGCTTTACCAACACGCAAGTAAGCACTGGGGTATAGCTGAGTGATAGCTGACCGCCCGTCTCATATAAAGGTATCAGGGAAGTCAGTCAGTAAACACCACAACGCACTTACGCCGAACCAGTTGTGTTCGCTGATGAGAGAGAGCAAACCCTTGGCCACTAATGATTATTGTAGAGTCTAATTTTGGCATGGCTACAGAAACAATCGCCGCAAATTCGATAACGTTTCGCAGTGGTTTCCTTGTGATATCACGGAACGTCGGAGCCCCCTATGTAATGTAGGCGTTTTAACTTATAGTGACTGCCGTAAATGCCTTGTATGAACACAACGAGTTTCCACGTGTACTGAACAGCCAGGTGTACATTACCTAACAGTGAAATAAGCATTTGCGTCATCGCTATCACGACATAAACAGCTCCTTTTCATTTTATTGAAAGTAGGATTTATATGAAAGCTATGTGATTTTGTTAAGATGAATTGCAAAATGCATTGAAATCGCATCTGGACAGGAGATGAAATATGTGTTTTTATTTACTATTGAGGATATTAACTAATGTGTAGATCCGGACACGGCGCAATGCTCCGGATACACCTGCATATCCTTCGGATACTGTTGTTTCTGCTGTTTTCCTCAACAGTGGGTACGTATGTTTTATGTTTCTGTATAATGATACATATTTCATCATGCATTGTCTTAATATTTCAGATAAGATCGGTTGTCTTTGTATGAACTTTATTTACTTGAGATGCGTCAATGTGTCGAGACGATCTTGATAGATAATAAACACCTATAGCTGAGAGCAACAGTTAGTCTTATTTGCTGTTTTTACAGAAGTGTCTCTATTAAAATTATTGCTGGTATTTCGTCATTCTTTAGAAGAATTTACTCAACACAATGTACGTTTCTTCGTCTGTCTGTCTGTCTCTGTCTCTGTCTCTCTCTCTCTCTCTCTGTCTCTCTCTCTCTCTCTCTCTCTCTCTCTCTCTCTCTCTCTCTCTCTCTATCTCTCTCTCTCTCTCTCTCTCTCTCTCTCTCTCTCTCTCTCTCTCTATCTCTCTCTCTCTCTCTCTCTCTCTCTCTCTCTCTCTCTCTCTCTCTCTCTCTCTCTCTCTCTATCTCTCTCTCTCTCTCTCTCTTCCCCCCTCTCTCTCTCTGTTTAAGTACATCAAGTATATCATATAATTACATATTTTATATATACACGCATTTTACAAATCCCTGTTGCCAAATTCCTTGTGTACTGTGTTATTATTAAGTAGAAAACATTCCGTTTCATTAAAGTAAATGACAAAGTAGCAATTTATTGTTTAAATAAGGTAAACACGGCAGTCAAGTCCCTTTAGCTGATACATCATCACCATCTTCTTCTATTTTTCTTTTATTCAGGGCAAATGTTTTTTGTCGATTCTTCATTGTTCATCAAACTACAGATTAAGATTAAATTTGCTACCTTAAAATAATAGTGTATTATTGAAAATGACAATGAGAACTAATAAGATAATAAGTCCACAAAGATAGATAAATTTTACAACTTACCAAAAATACTTCTACTTTCATACATTCTAATCATAACCCACAATTACATTTGCCAAAAATGTTTAAGTTTATTGAAAAAAGTGTTACATAGTGCAATTTGATTCCTTTAGTATTAGAACGAAAGAAAACGGTGAAAGGGTACGCATGCGCAAATTAAGTGTCCTAATAAACACGTGTAAACAAGAGATAAAATGTCGACTTAATTGGATCATATGTTGGAAGCTTAATTCGGTCATATGTTGGAAGCTCAATTTAAGCGTTAATTGATGTTCTTAATTTCTCACGACTTCGAAAGAAATGAAAAGAAATCACAGTGGTAGATCTTAAAGAAAAACAATGTGTTTTACATACATTTCAAAACTAAAGTTGTCTTTGGATTTCATTTTGCAGCTGATTAAAGTAATAAAGCCTTTTACGATTCAGAACAGAGAATTGATGATGTGATATTTGAGCAGGTGCATGTCTCGTTATAAGGAAATTTATGTTTTCACAGCGCTTCTAATGGTTACCAACGGATCAGGACATGTTATTAACAAAAATAAAGTGAACGACATATTTTTTTTAACAATGTAGACTAGTTCATATATATATATGTATATATACAAAGTAGAATTAAATGAATAAATCAACCATCAGCATCATTATTTTTTCTATTTCTGTAAATCAATAGGATTAAACTTGACTCGTTGTATTATATACATGTTGTTACAAGTTTTAACCACATTTTTTCAAAACTGCAACACGTCATTATTATAAAACTATGTTCGGGTAATAGATATAGTAATATGAGTAAAAAAAAACAAAGGGAGGAAAAGTGAAATATAATATGTAAATAAATGTCGAAAATAGTTCGGTTATAGACTTCTTCTTAACGTGACATTTACCAGCTTCAGAAAAAACAAAACACTATGGTATGTGAATGATAAAATATATTTACATCAAGTTGTTGATGTAAAAGCAGAAAATTAATTGTTTACGTGATATTGGAAAGGAGATGATGAAGCCAAGCACAAGGACAGAAGTACAACGTGTGGTGATTCAATGTATGTTTATCACATAATTTCCATATTTATTAAAAACGAGTTCCATAACGAGAAAAAAGACAAATTGAAAACAAAAACAACAAAATTAGAGAAAAATGAGCCAGAAACACATTTCTGTAGAGTGAATGTCATCTGATCAATCTACGATATCATAGCAACAATATATATGTAAAACAATTCTATATTTTCACTATTCAGTTACAGCAATTAGCTGTCTATAAGTGTGTGGTAATAGCTAGGTTGTTATTTGTCAAATAATACCTAAACATAAAAAGGTATGTCATTTTTGTTCATTAAAGGTTATTTCACTGATTAGCAATGTTAACAAGGTTAACATCGAAATTTCATATCCCGTATCCCGTATGATGTTCATTCACGATAAGTCCGATGAATCATCGCCACATCAGGAATTTTCTGTCTTTATATAGGTGTGAAACAGATTCTATCAAGTTCGAATACCTGCTTAAGTACATTTAGGTGCAAAACTACACCTGCAACCTCCGAGGTTTCAATAATTCACACTCTTTACATCATTGACGAGTTCTAGAATATCGACCAGCAGTATGAATAGGATTAATTAATTATATGACTCCACATTTTTGAACTATACATTTGCAGTAAATTTCTTTTTTAACACCATTTCTCAATATTGTTTGCAGAACTTCTAATACAGATGACATTGAATCCTATCATACATTTTGTGGAATCGTTATGTGCAACTGGAAGCGGTAGTCGAGATAAAAGTGACATTAAAAAAGTAATAAGCAATAAGCTCTGATCATGTCTATGGAAATGTTTTCTGACAAAGTACGGCTATCGAGACATGGTGCTAATTACTGTGCTGGATTCCCTGTCACACGGTACAGCTAATCCCTAAACTAATGGGTTTGCAATGCTAATAGATACGAAAGATACCAGCCAGAACATGTTAGGTACGCTTTTCTTGAGGAATGGAGAAAAAAATTCAAAAGAAGAAAAGTGTTTGTCAGTAAAAAAGTAAGAAAAGTAAAAATAGTAAGAATGGAAAGACAATCCGGTAAATAAAGGGAATTAGGAAATTCCAGAAAATAGCATAACATATCCTTCCCTAAACAAACATCAAATTTACAAAAACGACCAAACCAAATGAAATTGATTTGGAAAGCTGATATGAAATGGGGTCAATCACTAGCAATGACTAAAATAAGATACCTTTCATTGACAGTACCTGAATGTTGATTTCTTTGATGCATGATACCGTCAACGACCCTCTAATTATTGCAAATAAATGGAAACCATGTTATAATTACAGTCGTTTTGTGTTCATGTCAGGAAGATAATTAAGCAATTCTAATAGGATTCGACATTGTATTTATGCCTTTATTGTTGATCTATGAATGAGATATTTTTTCTGCTACGTAAAAAAGAGAGCGTTTTGACACCATATTAGGTAAATGATAATTCTGCGTAATGACACTATAAAATGTACGTAATTGGTCTTACCAGTATGTGAACATAATCATAATCGAAAATCCAACTTTAATAAATGGAGACAAAATATTAACAACAGAAAGATAAACACGATGATTCTCAGAAATAATAAAGCGTTCCGGAAGGATAAGCGTCCTATGCTTCTTAGATGACACTCATATTGTAAATATTGGTCAATCTTAGTAAACATGTCACGTTTTCAAATGTGAACAAGGTATACAACAACAGAAACAACAAGCACGTATCGCACAACGAAAAAGTATATATCTCAATGAAATCACTATGAAAGCTATAACACTTCACCACTATTTTAAACAGCTTGCATCGTTTAAAACTTGCCTTTGAACATCGAATCAACTGTGATAAGAACATACCATAGCTTGTTTGCACTGATGTTGATATCCACAAACGGATAGTTCACTATTGGGAAACTAAAATCATAACGCTTGTCATAAAACTTAGTGGAAAGCTGTAAATGCTGGTTTCATTATAGGAAAATGTCGAAAGAAGCTGCTTATGAAGAAGATTCTGTCTTCCCTTGATTTCTAATTCTGGTCAGCTCATCCAATGGACGTGGTTAATAGATGTCTTATTATCTAAACACATACGTCATCAAACTATCTAAAAATTGAATTGACGGAGAAAGTCTGTGTGCCATGTTTGGTAAGCTCTTCAATAAATTCAACCACGTATGACAACTAAAGCTATTCGGCCAACAGAGGGACACAGTTAGTTTCCATAAATATGACAATAGTCTTTGAAAGATCTTACCACAAATATCGACGAAGTTGTGAACCAGAAACTCGATTATTTAAATGATATTGTCCTATGTAAATTTCTTATTTGATTTTTTCACGAAATACACTTCAGTAAAATTCTTGACCATACATTTGTATCGTCGTTCACCTTTCTTGGAAGAGGAAGCTCTCATGACTAAAGAATAAAGGCGTTTTTTCAATTAAGAATGGAGTATGGTGGTGTAAAGAGTTGCAAAATCAAATGTTCTTATGGAAGTTTTCAGAAGAGAAGGTTGAAGATTAATCGAAAGCTCTTTCGGGGTCTTTGAAACCATCTTTATATGATCCTGACTGAATGTAGGATATGAAACTGTAAAACAAGCGCTCCAGACAAATTTAGGCATTCGTTTGTGTCATTACAATTCAGTCTCAAGACTGATTTATTCTATTACGATGACTTATATTTGTTTACAGCTTACTTCAGCACCTATAAAGACACCTTATGGGGGAATTTCGCTTTAACCTGATCACATCCCAGAATGTCATTCTTTCTCCTAACACTATGTGTTTATATGATGAATGCAACGCTTTCACCACTATAGTGAAGAGGCTTAAAAAAGAAAACAAAACACATACTGTACCCTGCCATTAGGTTCGCCCGAATCAAATTCTGGACATCATTGATCATACGAGAACTGAACTGCATGCTCAATTAAGTGCCACAATCTAACCGGTACAGACCAATATCGACCGATAAATCGGCTTCATCTCAACTACGGATATTTATGGTTCATTGTCCGGTAAATGCCAATGATAAAAGCAATGGGAACTCTATGTTAAAAAATGCTTGAACT